AGGTTGGGAGATGTCCAATCACTGGTCCCTTTAGGCCCGGGGGAGCCTGCGTTTTGTAAGAGAAAGCTGCAGGGAGCATCCGTTACCTCAAAACGGCACATGAAAGCCTTCAGGTTGGGAAACTCGTCCAGGCACCTGGGTTCAAACATGCGGTTCTGATCCAAGACGTCGTAGGCGAGGAAATCCACAAAGGTGAGCTGGAGGGAGAGTGAGACGGTGAGGCCTGGGGCACATGAGCGCCTGCACGGAGAGACGGGTATCCCTTCCCCTTCCTCTCTCCCTACCTTTTCCCCTGCAAACCACGAGAACTTCCCCAGGAACAAGGAGAACTGTTTCAGATGTCCAGGTAGCTGGTCCAGGTACTGAGGCTTCAATTTTTCCTGGGAGAGGGCGAGAGGAGCTGCCACCACGTTCCTGGTGAACCGGGGCACGGGCCCGCGATGGACACCACGTGCCCCTTCTCCCGGTGCCTTCCTCCCTCTGCCTTCAGGCAGGGGTGGCCACACAGAAGGGAGGGGTTTGGAAGGGCAGAGGGGCCGACACCAGAGTTACACGACCAACAAACCCCCACAAGATGAGAGTTCTGTTCTATTCTGGCCGATCAGGTTGGTGGGAAGGCGGCAGCAGAGGAACGGAGAATCAGCCTTGGGCTCCTAGAAGCGCCTTTTCCTGGACGCCTGCCTGCTAAGGAAACTCACATGGTCCGAGTTGTAGCAGATGCGAACCAGCTGCAGGCGGAAGTCCATCACTTGGTTCTCCATGATGTCCACTCGAATCCTTTCTTCTTCAGTCTCGCCGCCTGTCGGCCAAACCACAAGAAGTCACTCTCCGCACGTCCACACACGCCCAGGGGGGCACGCAGCCCCGCCCCCCTCACCTGCCCTACCCCACTCACACATATTGTGCTTGCGGGCGATATAGCGCAGGATGGCATTGCTCTGGGTGATCTTGTTCTTGCCGTCCAAGAGGTAGGGCAGCTGGAAGGAAAGGGACAGGTCAAATGATCAGCCCGACTGTCTGCTGGGGAGGTGAGACTCGCAGGGAAGTGAACGGGAGAGAGAAGGTGCCGTGTGAGGAGGAAGGAGAAAGTAAGTCGAAGGAAGCGACTGGGTCCCCACCTGAATTTAGACGGGGGTTCTTCATCTCTCTCTGTGGGTATGTGTGTGTGCCTGCCAAGCACCCTTTTGCAGAATGAGGTTTTTATTTTTTTAAAGATTGTATTATTTTTTTAGACAGAGGGGAAGGGAGGGAGAGAGAGAGGAAGAGAAGCATCAATGTGTGGTTGCCTCTCACACGCCCCCCACTGAGAGCCTGGCCTGCAACCCCAGCATGTGCCCCAACTGGGAATCGAACTGGCGACCCTTCGGTTGGAAGGCTGGTGCTCAATCCACTGAGCCACAGCAGCCAGGGCAGAATAAGGTTTTTAAATGCTTAAAACAAATTACATATGTTTACACAATTTATAAAAAATACTAAACAAAATTGTAATAGTAATCAGTGGCTATCAGTGAATTAAATAAAAAGCAGGTATAATAGCTACCACAGTTTCAAAGTATGATGAATGTGAATATGCATTACAATAGCTACAACACAAAAATACCTGATTTCTACTGGTGACAGTCACAGACGCAGCTAATGACCAGGGTCACTTACTGTCTGTATTCATAATAGAAGGAACTGTTCACTTTCAGTTGGTGGTTAGTGGAGATGAAAATGTAATTTTTTTCTCTGCTCAAGTTCAAGAACCCCTGAATTCTATTCATTCTATGCAGGTGAAGAGCCTTTAACCCAGATCCCCCGAGACCAGCGAGGGAAGAAGCCAGGAAATACTTCACAGCCATCCCTTCGCCGCCAACCCCGCTTTTGCTAAACCACCTACGTTAGGAAAGTCCAGGTCTAGCTTGAATTTCACATCCAGCCACTGGCTTTTATCGTAGTCAGGAGCTGTAAGAGAGAACAGAGGGGGACCCAGCGTCCTTAATATCCCCCCGGAGGGCAGTGCAAAGATCTAAAGAAACAACCTAATCTGGAGGGCTCAGGCTCCCAGGCCCCCAAAGTTTAACCCCGGCATCTCTGGGGCCTGTTTGGGTAAGGGTGGGGATGGGCTTGGGCTACGGCAGAGGGCGAATCTCAGCTCCAGATAAAGGACGGGTCTCTCCCAACACAGGTCAGGGCAGGGCAGAGATCTTCCAGGTGACAGGGACACTAGTCCCACTGGACTCTGCAGTGATGCCACCTTCGGGGCACAAAAGGCAAGAACTGTTGCAGGGCCAGCCTGGCTCAGCTCGGCGGCCCCAGAGCGGCCTTACCTGCCCCGCATGAGTACCGTTTCTCTTCGTAGTTTGTACCGGTGAACTCCAGGAGCATGCGGATGGCGTGCGCCAGCTGGGGAGGACAGCTCCGGTCAGCGCCTGCGCAGCTCCCACCGACCCCAACCCCCAACCCTCCCCGAGGCTGCCGAGACCCTTGACGAGGTGGTCGTTAAGCGCCCCCGGGAGCGGCCCCCGGCGGCTAGCGATCCTCAGCCCCTCTCCTCGGCCCGGGACCCCAGGGCAGGGGGCCAGGGCCGGCCCTTGAGGCCGGGAAACTCTGCGGGGTGTGGGTGGGGGGGTGGGGGGGGCTGGCAGCGCCGGGTCGCGGCGAAGTGGGCTTGGCTCGGAGGAGGGCCCCTTCTCTGGGCCCGAGCCCCCAGCCGCTTCTGCGTCCGTCTCCCTGATCCAGCGGCTCGGCCGTTGACATGGTACTCACCCCGCGAATATCCCAGTAACCCAGAACCACAGCCGACTTAGACGATGACATACTGAACGTACTCCCGCGCCCTCTGGGACTGGAGAGGAAGCGCCAACGGGCGGGGCTTTATACCCAAGGCGAGGGGGCGGGGCCAACGTGGGCGCCCTCGCTCCGCCCCCACCGTCCGGGTCCGCCTCCTAACGCACGACCACTGGGCCGTGTGCAGGCGTGTTTTCTGTAGACACTGGGGATAGGGGCGGGGCGGGGCGCGGCGCGACGTGCGCTGGGGGTCCTGGGGTTGGGACTCTGCCCTGTACGTGCGTGGGAGCTGCACTCCGTCAGTGGTGCCAGGGGGAGGGTAGAACACCCATCTCGCAAGCGGTGAGAGCCCTGGTGACCTCGGGGAAGTGAGATTCACGCTGCGAATATTTATCTAGGGGGATGGGGTCAGGGGAAGGTGGGCGAGGCTGTGACTCTGAGGAGTCGCCGCCCTCCGTGTGCGTTCTGTTGGTGTGTGGGCAGGAGGCCGGAGCTACGCGCACGGTTCCTGGCCCTGGGGTCTACACAACGTGGCCGCTCAGTACCCGAAGCCCCTTCACCTCTCCCTGGGGTGCGGGAAATCGTATTTCTCCATCGTTCCGGGTGAAGCAAGGTTGGGACTTTTTAAAAGAACATTTTAGTAGAAAGAAGAGAGGGGGAAAAGTGCAATGCACAGGGACTGAGAGATTAATAATGCCTCAATCTCACCTCCCAAGGTAGCAAAAGGCCAGCCACAAATTAACCTCAAGTATAAGACTAACATTTTTTTGCACGTTAAATATTTTTTATTGTTTATGTTATTACAGTTGTCTCAGTTTTTCCCCCTTTGCCCTCTCCCGTAAGACTAACACGTATTGAACACCTATGATACGCCAGGCCATCATCTGGGTATTTCGCGTATCTTAGCTAATTTATTCCAATGTAAGCTTCACAACTTTGTGAAGTTGATTTTCTGCCCGTTTTACAGAAGGAAACAAGGGAGGCCTGGAGACGTTGGGTGGATATCTGTTCCAGGCTCTCCTGTCCCCAGGGGCTGCAGCCTGGGGTTCACAGCGAGGTCTAGTAGCACAGCTTGTGTGAGTTCCACCGAACCTGGACACGCACTCGGTCCCTCACCTTATTTCGGTCTTTGCTGAGAGACCTGGGGAGCACCGGACTACACCACGTTTACTCCTGGTCCTGGAGGGTTTCTGTGCTTCCAGAGCTCCTTGAGCTCCATGCAGCCCAGAGGATGATGGGTTAGTATCTCCTCTGCCCATCCCAGGGAATCCACTTCTCTGATTAACATTCGCCTTTGACAGTCAGACCCTAGGGATCTCACCTGTTTTCTCTTTTGTGTGGGAAAAGAGAGGTTTTCTGAAGCCGGGAACTTGAGGGAATGACGCAGTTGTAGGGTAATCTGGGACCAGGGCAATGTTAAAAAGCCCTGGGCAAGTTCAGCTGAGACGTACTTATGGAACCATCTTAACCCCTGAGGGTTCTGGATTCACCAGTACGTCAAGCCTGATACGCAGACCGAATCAGAAAAAGTACAGCCTCTGTTATGTGGGGAGGGGACTCCACGACGGGAGACTCAAGACCGCTGTGGACAGTGGGTCCTAGAAGCCGCGGACAGTGCCCCCAGGCGGTCCCGGAACTCTTCACTAGCCCTCTGAGAAAATAGGGCCCTGGAGAGTAAAATGCCTGGTCAGCCAGTTAGCGGACTTGGAACTCCCAGTCTGGTGCTCCCCATGCTCTGCTACTGGAGACAAGCTGGGGAGGAAGCTCAAGGTTGGCTCACCCAACAGGAGGGGACAGAAGTTGTATCAGCAGAGGAAGTTGCCAAATAGAGCACCTGGCAAGACTATTAGTGCGTCTCCGGACCATCAGCCAGTGCAGCTGCTCAAGACTGACCCCTGGCAGCAGCCTGCTCCTATGAAGGGTCGTGCCCCCGGCTCTGCTGGGTGCTGGGGAGCCTACTGGGAGACGTGTACACAGTGTACACAGCGGGGCAAAGACGGTGAGCACAGCCTTCACCTGGGAGTTTGTTTCGAAAGAAGGTAAGCAGAGCCTAGGCCATGATCATCCAATCCTGCTTCTCCGTCCCAGGTGGCGTGGGGACTCCCACTCACGTTCGGTCTGGGCCAGGGAGGGAGGCAGGGCTGCCGCTGGGCCACGCCCCGTGTGCCAGCTCCTCCCGCCTCCCCACCTCGGCCCCCATCCGGCCCAGAAGAAGCTGCAGGGGCGGCACAGCCGATGAAGATGTGTTTATTGGGGAGGAGACGGACTGAACAGAACCCTACCGAATCTAGCCACGAGTGCGCCAGGCTTAGGACAGAGACAATAAATAGATGGTAGCTGGAGAGGGCTCCCAGCACAGCCAGGGGGGACATCACTCGCCCGACCGCGGGGCTGGTCTGTCCTCCTTGCTGTGGGGGTGGGGTGTGGGGCTGGCTGCGGACTGGGGACCTGGAAGAGGAGTTCTCGGGGCGTCTTCCGTCTTGCTGCTGCGAGAAGGCCTTGGTCTTGGAGAGGTCTGCGTTGGTGCCTACGGGGTTATCTGAGGAAAGAAGGATCGTGGTGAGGCCGGACCAGGGAAGGAGACCCCAGGGCTCAGGCTGACACGCAGCTTGGAGCCTCCAGGCATGGCCGCACGCCCGAAGTCAGGCCCCCGGGGGACCGAACGGCCTGTGCCCAGTACCGGTCACACTCAGTCCCGCCCCGGGGCTGTGCCTGCCGGCTAGTCCCCCCGCTCTTCTCACGGTCTCCCAGGGAGCACCCCAATTTCCACTGGGAGTGAGGACCCCAGAGCGCCCTCACCCCCAGCGTCCTCCTGACGGCCTCCAGCCGTGCCAGGACCCGAGGGGCCTCCTGTGGACACAGCATCTGCAGCTCCCCTGGCCTGATGTGCAGCAGCTGGGACCCCATCAGGGACCCCAGGGTTTTCACCGTGCTGGGGACAGAAACAGGAGCGGTCGGTGGTGGGGCCAAAGGACTCGGCCTGAGTCTTTGGGTAGAGAAGGGGCTGTTTGGGCCGGCAGGCTGGGGTGACGGGAGAATTCAGGGAACAGGGCATCTGAAGGTGAAGGAGGAAAATGTGCATTTTGGCTTAAACCATTTTCAGAACTCCTGGGCGGGCAGGGGGAGGTGCTCTGGGCGAGGATCCTGTGGGGGTGGGGTGGCAGCCGAGGTTCTTCCTGAGTCTCTGGGGTCCCGCTGCCTCCCCCACGGCCAGGGCTGCCCGCTCAGCGCTCTGACGGGGGCTCGAACTCGGCCCTCCTGCTAACTCGGCAGTGGCAGCGCTGGGGCAGGGCAGTGGCTGTGGGGCTGTCGTGTGCTGTGTGTTGAGTACAGGTATGGGTCGGGCCGTATGCTCTGGGACCCTGAGTTTCCTTGGTTACAGTCTGAACCCTTACAGCCGCCCCATCCCCCGCCCGCCCCGTGGCTGAGCCACTCACAACGTGGAGAAGTTCTCTGCCTGCAGCCAGGCTCTGACCTCCTCGGGCCTGGAGCTGAGTCGAAGCACTGGAGTCTAGAGTCGGGGGGGGCATGGGGGTCAGAGGCCATCCCCTCTCAGAGCCCCCCACAGCCCCCACCATCGGGGTCCCTTCTCTGGGCTGCTCCATGGTGCCCCCATCTGGCCGGGACCAGGCTCAGCAGCACGCAGTGAGCACGTGATGGTGCGGATGAAATCAACCCGGGGCTGCCTCCTGCGCTGCCGTGGGCTCCCCTGCCCCCACCCTGACTCAGGCCTCAGAGCTTCTGGGTGGTCTAGGCCAGGCCGTACCCAAGGGGGCGGCTGGCTCTGGCCCCTGGGGGTCCCCGACTCCAGGGGTTCCAGGACGTTGCTGGGGATGTAGCCGCTCTCTCCTGTCTTATTCTTCACCAGCCACCACTGCTTGCTGTCGTCCAGAACCTGCCAGGAGCCACCCTCGGTCACCGGAGCCTCTGTCCAGCCAGCCTCCCCTCCCCCACAGGGCTTGCTCCCTCCCGGCCCTCCCCCACTTTCTCCGTCTCTAGGCCATGCACCCCAGCAGCCGCCCCCCCGCGTCCCCCCTCACCCCAGGCTGCCTGTAGCTCCCACCCGCTCCCACCTCCTCTTCTAGGCTAAAGCCCCCGCCTCACCTGCACCACCTCTCCCTGGGCCACCGTCAGCTCCTTGGGGTTCCTAGCTTGAAACTCGTGTACGACTTGCATTCTCGGGGCTTGGCTGACAGGTCTAGGGGTGAAGGGCACAAGGTTGGGGTCCCCAGACTGAGGGCCACGGTTGTGTGTCTCCTCTGGAGCCAAGTACCGGGTGCTCCCTGACCTAATACCACCCCCCCTCCCCCAGAGACAGTCAGGATGGGCCTGAGAAACCGAGCCGTGTCCTGCCCCAGAGCCCCAGAGAGCGCCCGCCTGGGGTCTGGAGGCGACTGTTAGGTCTCCACAGTGTAACGGCAGGGCCATGGGAGGCCGGGCCCCGGCTGGGGTTTCCTGCAGGCAGCGGGAGTCCGCATTGTGGCTGGTTTCTGAAGGCTCTCCCAGCTGCAGGCTTTCCTACACCTGAGCTCTCCTCTGCGCTCCGGGAGATCCGGGAGATAAGAGGCACGTGTGGGCAGTGTCGCCAGAAGGGGGATGAGAGCGCAGGTGGCAAACACAAGGCCTGTGGGCTGAGTCTGGCTCCCCGCTCCTCACAAACACACAGTCCCAACCGACTGAGCTCCGGGCTTACTGGAAGGAGGCGGAGTCCTGGTATCCCGAGGGTGCCTGTGGGGCAGAACAGAGTGAGCAGGGACAGGGGCCAGCCGGCCTGGGGGTGGGGAGCTGGCCTCAGGCCACAGACCCTCCCCTGCCTGCCCACCACCTAGGTCTGGGCACCAGGGGCCGCGTGACCGTGGTTGGGACGGAAAAGGCAGAAAGTAGTCAGAGACCAGGGCTTTGAGTGAGGCTCTGCGCTCAGCTCCCCCTTACCTGGTTGGAAGGTTCTGGAATCTGCCAACCATCAGAGAATGTGGGTTGGTAGGGTCGGGGCTCCTTGCCTGTCCAGTTGTCCCTGGGGAGAGAACCAAGCTGAGTCCAGCCTGTGCCGGTGTGGGGTGTGGGACGGAGGAGTAGACAGAGCCCCGCTTTGGGGTCTTCCAGGTTGTGGAGGACGTGGCCCATGCACGCAGACGAGGGGCCCCAGGACACCCCCGACGGAGCAGAGGGCGGGGTGTGAACAGACGCCACGGCGCGGGGCTCCGTGGCCAGTGTCACCTCTGCCCCTGGGGTGCAGCTGCATCAGCTCCACGAGAGCACGCTGGGCACCCGATTGCCCTGACTGGAGGTTCGAATTACAGCGGAGGGGGCAAGGGTGACCGTTCCCTCTCCTGCCCTGTCACCGCACTTGGGCCGCCCTGGGTCACTGCTCCTCTCACGCTGCGCTGCGCGACCCTCGCATGCCTGCGATAGGGAGCTTCTGGACAGCTGCTATTCTGAGTGCAGCGGAGGGGACGTAGGCAGCAGCTAATAAATATTCAGTGGGAACAAATAAGCCGTTTCCTCTTTTGAATCTTTTTAAATGGCTCCTCTCTTCGCCCTAAAAACACGCTCAGGTCTTCCCTTGACAGTGCTATCCTGTTACCTTCCGCTTCAAGCTGTCTTTCTGTGACCTCCTCTTTCCCAGATTTTTGGGGGATGTGTCTGTGTGCCCCACCTACATTTTTTCTCCGCCGGTCCTTTTACCCCTCCTGGACACGTGGCGTCCACCGCTGCCCCTGCTCTGCCGGGCCCAGTTCCCCCGAAGCCCCAATCGCCACACCCAATGGCGTGTGTGGTTCCTACCCTTCTGGGCCGCAGCGTTTAGCGTTGTTCATGGCTTTGGGTAGATTTGCCTGCGGTCCAGTCACCTACATGAACCTGGTCTGAAGTTTGACTCTTTTGAGGGTTTTTACATCCTCCTTAGCTTTGTTTTCTGTATTTTTGCCTTTCAATTCATCGTTCATTAATTTTTTGTTGTTATTTTAGGCAATTAGAAAACATTTTAGGGTACATCTGACCTATTTTTTTTTATCAAAACTGATAAATGGGCTCAGATTGCCGGGGCTGGGGAGAGGGAGGGTCAGCACAGAGTTTTGTAATTGTTGAATTTTTTTTTTCTGTCTGGGGTGATGGAAAAGTTCTACAGATGGGCTGTGGTGATGGTTGCCTACCATGAAGTTTTTAATGCCATTGAATTACACTCTTAAAAACATCCAAGTGGCCCTGGCTGGTGTGGCTCAGTGGATTGAGTGCTGGACTGCCAACCAAAGGATCACCGGTTCGATTCCCAGTGAGGGCACATTCCTGGGTTGCGGGCCAGGTCCCCAGTAGGGCTCACATGTGAGACAACCACACATTGATGCTTCTCTCCCTCTCTTTCTCCCTCCCTTCCCCTTTTTCCAAAAATAAATAAACAAAATCTTCTAAAAAAAAAAAACAACAACAAGCCTGAATTCACAGGAATGAAAAATACTTGCAAAATAAAGTCATTTAAAAAAAAAGTTCAAGTGGTAAATCTTATCTTAGGTGTAGTCTATCACAACTAAAAAGCTAGACTACACTGAATCATAACTTACGTCTTCGGATGGGGCTGAAGTGAAAAGAACCACCCACTAGCAACTCACTTGGACAAACAGGTGCCTTAGCTCCTGGTGGGCGTCTCTCTCCAACACCCTTTTCTCTCTTGGTTTATGCGTCTGCTTTTTTGTTTCTTCTTTGAACTCTCAGGAATTTCCCTTTGCTTCCTTAAGCCCCTTTCCTTCCTCCAGCCACGTGTAGGAGGTTCCTTTCTCTCACGGGACAGGATGGAGCCACCTTGCTTAGAAGGGTGCATCGCAGGGCTGCCCTGCTGCCACGCTCGCCTCTAGGGGGCGCCAGGCATCATCCCTGGACTGACTGCTCTCAACCCCACACAGCCGGGTCGGCCGTCCCACCTGAGGGCTGGGCCACCCTGTCTCTGTGGCATGTTTCACGGGCACCTCAGCTCAGCACCTCCACGCTGGTTTGTCCCCCACTCCCGTGGCTGTCATCGATTTGACCTTGCGATCCAACTGCCCGTCTCGCTGTCTCCCTTTTGATCTTAACTCCTCGGCCAGCTGGTCGCCAAGTCTTACTGGAGTTACATCTGCAGCATCTCTTACTTACGTCGGGGATTCTTAAATGCTGGGCCTGATTGAGACAAAGTTTTCACTTCCTCCTTGACCAGAATGAGAAAATATTCTAGTGGGAGTTCGCCAACTCTCCTTTCTTGGGAAGAATTGTTCTTTTTTTTTCGAGATAACGCCTTCCCGTCAGTGCTGGGTGACGGTGAGAGGTGGTTTTAAGAAGAAATTGTTCGTACAGAGTGTGATAAAGGGTTGGGAACTCCGTGTTTGGGGAGGTTTCTGGCTTGTGGCAACTAGCCCCACCCAGCGCCCGGCCCTATGCCCCCCTAGCGCCTCAGTTCCATCTGGCCTCGTCCCCACTCACCGGCTGGTGGTCCAGGCCACACCCAGGCTCTTCCAGAGGTCAGTTTCGGGTGGGCTGAGACAGAGCTGCATCAGGTCCATGGCTTCGGGGGTGAGGAGGGGCGAGATCACCTGCGCTGCGAGGCCACGCTCAGGGCACTTGGTCAGGACCTAGAGGAAGGACAGAGGTGTCAGGAAGCCTTGGTCCCCGCAGGGCCCACCTGGAGTGGGAAGGGGCTCGGTGTCCCTGTGCCACCTTCTTTCTGCTCCTCCCCCTGCCGGCTCCCTTGGAGGCCTGGTGGCCGTGGCTCTGACCCCAGCCCCTGGAGTCTGCTGGGGGTGCTGTATACAGCAGGGATGGCGTCTTGGGGCCAAGGAGGGTGTGCTGGGGGAACGAGGGGCAGACCCCCCCAGCCTCCCTCCACTCTCTGCCTGCCACCCTGGCCTCTGCTTTGTCTGCATTTCAGCCGGTAGTCCCTTACCACCCCACCCTCCCCCACTCACCAAGTTCAGAGTGTTGAAGAGGAGATGCAGCAAATGGTCAGGACTTGGATTTTGCAGGTAGGCGGCCAGCTTGCCCTGGGGACACAGGGGGCTGCCATCACCACCCTCCACCCCACCCCACCTTCACCAGGACCCCAGGGCTTGTGATGGTTCCGGGCCGTGGTCGGGAGCCTGGCACTCTGCCAAAGTCCTCAGAGTGGGAGGGGAGTTTCGGGGGGAGAAGCCAGAGAAACCGGGATGCCCGTGAGCCCAGGGAGGAGGGGTTGCTGGGGGCGGTGGTGTGAGGAAGGGCTGGGGGACTTGTGGGGGCCACACACCAGGAGGTTGAAGCTGTACTTGAACTTCTGGAAGCAGTCGATGTACTGTGCCTGTGTCACCCCTGTGGGGGGAGGGGAGAAGGCAGCGGGTTGCAGACTCCCCCCAGACCCCCCCAATTCCTCTCCCTTGGCCCTCAGCACTCACCCCCCTGATACTTGTCTTTTTTCTTCCCCAGTACAGTCTTCTTCTTCAGAGTGGCGTTCGCCTCCGCCTCCTTCAGCCGTCCCACAAACAGCTCGATGTCCGCCAGGATGCGGTTCAGCACCTCCTGCACCACAGACAGCGTTGGCCTTGCGAGGACGATTCGGCCCCCAGAACGGCCACCCCTGCCCCTGCAGAGCCGCCCTGTGCCCCCTCAGCCCAGGGCCTGGCCTGGCCGTCCTGGGACCCGGTTTCCCTGGGGGAATGGAAGAGTTCGAGTCCTCCCTCCCTCCAGCCTCAGAGAGCTCGGCTGGCCCAGCCGCTGTGCAGTTACCTGGTCCCTCGCTGGGTCCTGGGGGGATGGGGGCCTTCTTGGAGGAGGCGGCGGGATAGCGCTCAGTTCTCGGGCGCTGGAGTGTCGTGACAAGGGCCTCGGGGATGGCTGTGTGTCTGCAGTGGAAGGGGACGATGGCCTCTTTGATCTTTGGTCTAAACTTCCTCCTCCCACGGGTCCCCACACTCCAGACTCACTGTGCTCTTTGGCCATCCAGGGGGGCTGTTCCGGAGGGAACCCCCGCTCCTGGGCGGGGGCCTGCTCCTTGGGGAGTGGCCTTTCTTGAGGAGCCCCCCGCCATCTGTCCTGGCCTTGGTGAAGGGCTCCCAATGGGGGTCTGCTGCGCACAGGGTGGGGACACAGGTCTGACAGTGTTTTGGGGACAGAGGCTCTGCCCGCACTTCTCTGCAGGCCTCCACCCTGAACCTTCCCGACTCCACCCTGCCTTGTCGGTCTGCCTCTGGGCCCTCGCAGACCCAGGTCAGGCTCCCGGGACAGTCTCCAGTGTTCCTGGGCCGGCCCCAGCCCCTTCCTCACGCCCTTGCCTCCGGCCTGGCCCCACCCCAGCTCCAGGCCCGGGGTTCCTGGGCTCTCCCAGGTGTGGGCTGGGGTCTGGCCCACCCAGGCCCACGCTCAGAGACCCTGCAGGTGGCCCAGGGCAGAGACTGCCTACCTGCCCTCCCGCTCCTCCTCCAGGACCTTCTGCAGGCTGGTCCTCAGTCGCTGCGCCTGCAGGAAGCGGCAGCTGGGCAGGCTGTGTGGGTGCGCTTGGGGAGGGGTGACTGTTGCTGGGCCCCACCCCACCCCCCCTTGGCCCACCCAGGCCGCTCACCCCCACTTCCTGGCACTGGAAGAGCAGAGTGCTGCTGCCCAGCGGGCCCGGCTCCCGCACGGTGACGGCCAGGACGTTGTCATAAGAGCAGGAGCTGGGCGCCACGTCCACGGCCTGGATGCTGTCCAGGCGGTACGAGTCCAGCTCCTCCTGGGCCAGGTGGAATGGCCACCGTGAGGTCACTGACAGCCAGGGCGGTTCCTGGGAGTTCCCGACCTGGGTCGCCCGCCCTAGCCTGCAAGTGGCCTGGGGCTGAGCGCCCACGCCCCCGGCCCCTGGGCCTCTGCGCCCAGACGGGTGCCACACACGGGAGGGGCGGCTGCCGTTCGGGGCGTGGAGGCGTGGGGTTTGTGCCGGGGCTTGCTCTCCCACAGCCTGGTGACCCGTGACCAATGGCAGGGGGCGGCGGGAGGGCTGACCTTGGTCTCGATGTCCAGCAGCTGGAGCCAGCCGTCTCGGACCTGCAGGATCAAGTTCTGGCTCCACACCCGGCCCTGAGCGTCCACCTCCTGCAGCTTCTTCACGGCGTCGCTGGGGTCCCGGATGCCCTGAGTGCCCAGCTTGCACGTCATCAGGTGCTGCGGGAAGAGGAGGAGGCTTGGGGCTGGGAGCAGCCCTGGAGAGGGAGATCACGGGGGTGGGGGGGGGTGAGGGGGGTGGGCGGGGTGGGGGCAGGGCAGCAGAGGAGGAGGACAGGGCCCCCGGCCTCCCGTGGGGACAGCCCCGGGCAGTCCCATAAAGCAGCCTCCCAGGGCTCGTGAGAGCACCAGAAGCCGGCGAGGACAAGGGCCCAGAGCCGGGGTCTGATGGGCTGCATGAGGGGGTGTGGGGCCCTGGAGAAAGGACGCAGCCTTTAACAGTCCAGGCCAGCTGAGGGGGCTGGGTGGGGGCGGGCATGGGCTCCCAGCATGCAACCAAGGAAGTGGGAACCCCTGCAGGGGAGGATGTAGGACCCTCACATTCCATCCCTGGCTCCCTCTGCTCCTTTGGGAACCTCCTCCCCTAGCCTGGCCCTCCGCACGGACCCAGCATTCCTGTCTGCACGCCTTTGCTCGGGCTGGCCCTCCCGCCCCGCTCCCTGCAGGGGCTCATCCAGCCCTGGGAGCCGGAGTCTCTGGGGAGGAAGGCCCCGCCCCGCCTTCTCCCTGATTCCCGCCCAGTGTGGTCTCCCCTGGGGCCCCTCTCGCAGCTGGGGCTGATCCTCCCACAGGTTTTCGCTGTCATTCTCCCTCCTGGAGGAGACCCCTCCCTGTCCCATCCAAACGCAGCCTTCACATGTCACAGGCCTGCCGGCTTGCTGCTCGCGGTCCCCTGCAGGCCCTTGCTGGGGGAGCACCACCTGCCTCCTGCCCCATCCCACTGCCCTGCTTCCTGCACGGGCCCCGCTCCTCCCCTGGAGCAGCCACCAACCTGTTAGGGGACCCGGACATCACAGGCCAGCGCCCTGGCATCTCTGGCAGCCTGGACTCGCCTCCCCTCACTCTACACGAAGCCACTGCCCAACTCCCATGCCCGCCATGGAGCCCAGGACCCCCAGTCCTGGCCCAGCTGGCTGGGGAAGCCCACCTCTGCTGCCCTGTGGAACCTCCAGACCATCACCCCATGTCCCTCCCTCCTCTTTCTGGGGAGCAGCCCTGAGCCTGCTGCCGCCCTGGGGCGGTTTACATGGGGGCGCTTCTTTGGCCCGACCAGGGACCTGCGCTCCCCACTGCGTCCTTCCATCCTGTGCTGAGTTGGTTGCGCATACAGCCCTTCAGGCAACTAGATGTCACAGTGCCACTGTCCTCCTCCCAGGCAGGGCCGGAGCCTCCAGCAGCCCCTGCCCAGACACCTTCCTTGTGGGGACCGATGACCTCACACACTCCTTTCTCTGCCCAGCCAACCCAGCCAGCCCCAGGGCAAAGAGCAGTTCCCTGGGGACCGGAGGGTGTGGTGGGGGTGCTTGACATGCCTCCTGGCCGCTCAGTCCTCTGCTTGTCCCTGCCCGGGGACAGGACAGCTGCCCATTCAAGCTCCCGCCCTGCGGCCCTGCCGATTCCCAGCTTCCTGTGCCTCCCCAGCAGATTCCCAGCTGCCTGCGCCTCCCCAGCACTCAGCGCTCTGACACTCTGTTGGGTTCACTGGACCTGAGCCCCCCTTCCCCCCCGATCTGGCTGGGCAGGCTGCTGCCTTCCCAGGCGGGGACTCCTGGGACGTTGGGTCTTGGGCAGGGAGCTGGGCAGGGCACCCGGGTGGGAATCAGGAAACTCACCTCCACCCTGTGCTGCAGGGAGGTGGGCTCGGAGCTGAGGCTGTTCGAGTACTCCTTCCGCTGCACTGCGGGGGAGGGCATGAGGGGTGGGGGCCGGGGCGGGAGAGCCGGGTGAGACAGAGACAGAGGCAAAGGCGGGGGGGGGGGGCGCAGCATGGGCAGGGACAGGCCAGAGGACGGGGTCCAGGAAACTCAGGGAGGGCCAGCGAGAGCAGCCTGGAGGGAGAGCTTACTGTAAATGGCTTTGCTGCTGGGCCGGGCCATGGTGGCGCTGCTGGGGTGACTTCCTGGAACCCGAACGGAACCAAAGGGACAGCCGTCAGCTGGGGAGAGGAGCTGCGGCTCCTTCACCTTGTCCCTGACCCGGCCTGAGGCCCAGGCCAGGGTCTCGCCTGGGGCCTCCGAGACCAGACTCAGAGCCCCGGCTCCAGGGGCCTCTCCGGAGCTGCCTCCGGCTGCGCCCTCCTCCGAGGACCTCCGTGGGGCTAGGCCCAGCAGGCAGGCCCCAAGGCAGGCTCCCGGCCCCTCCCCATTTGGTCAGTGAAGCACATTCTGATGGGCCCAGGAAAGCTGGGTGGACAGGGACCTGAGACCAGATCCTGTCCTGGGCCTGAGGGGGCAAGGGGCCGGAGGGCGGGGCTGCACCCAGCTTCTGCAGCCAGGCGTCAGGGTCCTCAGCCTTCCCCACAAAGCGAGCCTCTGCCCGAGCCCGTTTCAATTCTGCAAACTGGGGGGAGGTCAGTGTTGGCTCTTAGGCTGGGGCCCCGCTCAGGAGGGGGGTGTCTGTGCACACGCACACACACACAGAGCCTGTGTCAGCGATCTGCACTCCCTCGAGTGTCTCGCCAAGTCTCCGGTCTCTGTGTCTTTCCACGCTCTGACCCCTCTGCCCGGAGCCCCTCGCACTCACCCCTACATTCCAGCCCAAGGATCACCTCCTCCATGAAGCCTTCCTTGATTACCCCACACGACCCTGCCCAGAGTGCCCTCCTGGTGCCATCTGGTACCTTGTCTGTTCCTGACAGCATCAGTCCCCCAGGCAGTGCTGGGAGCCCGGTGCCAAGGCCCCAGTGAACATTATGTCACTGAATTGTCACCACTGCTTGTAAGTGCTTCCTTGTGCCCAGCACTGTTCTCTGGACTTTACCTCCGGCAGCTCGTTTAACCCTCAGAGCATCCTCACAGGGTGGTGCTTTCCTCATCCCATCTACCAGATGCGGGCACCAAGGCTCAAAGGGGGCAATGGGCCCGAGGCCACAAGCGAGTATTTAACAGAGAACAGACCCGGCCCTGTCTGGCTGCCATCTCCGTGCTGCCGTTGTCTACACGTGTGCCTCTGTCACCGGGCTGCGAGCTCCCGAGGACAGGCTTGCAGGGCCCCGCGGTCTCCCCAGCTCCTTCCTGGCACAGAGGGGCCTGGGGGACGGAGATGCTGAAACGGGTGGGAGTGCACACGTGTGTGTGTGTGTGTGTGTGTGTGTGTGTGTGCTCGTTTGGGACGGGATCAGGCAGAGGTCAAGGGTACAGGCTGTTTGACTGAGGTGTCCGTGCATCTGCGAGGTATGCCTATGTCATGCCGAAGCCCTGGAGTACCCTGGGCAAAGTGTAAGAGAGCAGCGCACACCCTGGTTTATTGGGAGTTATTTATAGGAAAATAAGGTGACTCAGTGTGGGGCAGCCGGCTGCTAGCCAACAGTGAAGGGATTGTCGGGGAGGCTCTGGGTCCCCGTGCTCCTTGTTTGCGGGCTCCCCTTCCCTCTCCTAGGCCGAGGGGTGCTGGAAGCCTGCTCCCCCGCCCCCAGCCCCTCCCTTTCTCCCCGTGGCAACATTTCCTGCTTGTAGAGGCAGAAGAGAAAGAGGAGAAAGTAAGCTCCACTAGGGTCAACACCGCCCCCAACCCGGCCCCTCGCCGGGGCGGTCGCCGTGGGTCCCTGTGGGTCCCCGCTGCTGCTTCTGCTGCTTGAGGTCCCAACCACAGGAGAGGGGAGGCGGCGGCTTCGGCCCGACTCACCCCTGCAGTTTGCCCCACTCACCCCTGCGTTTAGGGGCTTGGCGTAGGGCCCCTGGGGAACCCTCTGGAGCGCCGGCTCCCTTCCCTTCTTCCCAGCTCGGCGGCCCCTGGTTGCGCCCCACAGCCCCACACCCTTCTTGGGGCTGCTCTTCCTCAGGGCATCTGGGAGTGGGCCAGAGACCCCGGCCTGGGGAGCCGCTGAGCTGCCCCCCCGCCCCACAACCCCGAGGGCCTGCAGCTCTCTGGGCCCTGACCCCCCCGAAGCCCAGGCCTCACCTGGCTGCCAGAGAGGCTCGTGGCTGGTCCCCCGAGGGGGCTGCTGTCGGGCTGGCGATCTGGCGCCGGCGGTGGTGGGGTCCGCGTCTTCTCTGCCAGCGCTCAGGCAGAGGCGCCGTGGGAGGCGGCCCAGCCCGGCCCAGCAGGCGGGCCTCGCTGTGGTGAGGCCGTGGCAGCCCCGCCCGCGCTCTTTGGACCCTGGCGGGTGGGGAGGCCTCACAGGCCACCATCTGCCTGACACTGGATGGAGTCTCGCCCCGTGGCCCCGTGTACGCCGGCAGGTGTCCCGAGGTTGGCCCTGCTTCCCGGCTTCCTCTGCTTGCCTCTGGCGTTAGCATGTGGCTCCTGCCCGTCTCCCTTCGGGTGCCTCTCCGGTGGCCCCGGGTCAGCATCAGCCACTAGACGGAGAGGGCGCCCATGGCTGGCCCAGGAGAGTGTGGCCTCTGCTGCGGCCAGGGGACAGGGGGCCAGAGGTGCACCCCAGGCCTGTGCTGCACGTGTGGGTGCGTGATCACGTGGGTGTGTGATCGCGTGTGCCCTGGGAGCAGGACACGGTGCTCCTCCCTGAGAGCAGATGGGGGCTGGGCGCGGGGACCCCTGGGGGCATTACCTGGAGGGCTGAGCATTCCTGCAGGTACAGCCTACCTCGTTCTGCCCTTTCTCCTGGCCCCTCCCACCCAGCAGGGACCCACCGCCCACCCCGCTCTGGCTCCTCTGCTCTCTCACCTCCCCACCCCACCCCGTGCCCTGGGGACCCCGACCAGGGTCCATGGCTGGCTGGCTTCAGCAAAGATGGGGACCTGAGGCCTGCCTCGGTCTCTCTTCACGAACCTGCCCAGTCCCTGTGCTTCATTTTATTTAAAAGCTCCCCTCGGTACCCAGTGTGGGCCAGGCCGCCGGCCCTCCGGGACTCGCAGTCCAACAAGGAGACGGGACATCAGACCTGACACCGCGGGAGGGAGGCCGGAGGGGGAGGGGAGGACGGAGATGCCAGAGTGGCCACGGGTCCCGTGGGCAGAGGGTCAGGGCCCCCGGTCTTGTGAGGGGCTGTGATGGGGCGTCCCGTGCTCTGGAGCCCGGCCTGCATCCTCACCCCTCAGCCCTTGGCTTCCCCCCGGGCCGTCCCAGGAGACCTCTCCACCCCGCCTCCAGCCCTCAAGGTCCTGGAAGGCTGGAGTCCCTGGAGTCCTGGGGTTGGATCCTGGCCAGGGGCCTCCCCCGCCTGCCAGAGTCCCTCACAAAGCCATCCGAGAGGCCCAGGGACCCAGTGCCTAGGGGCCGAGCCCTGGGCCACGGCCTCGTGGGAACCAGCCCTCCCGGCCCCCTAGGGTTCTGTTCTGTGGGTCTCAGCCTCCTGGTCCTTCAGCTTCTTTTGGGACAGAACAGCCTGCCCTTCGTTGTGCGCCCCCGCCCCTCCCACCCCTCCTGGCCCCCGGCCAGGCCCAGGGCCCAGCCAGGACCTCATCCCTGCCCAGCTCGGGCCAGGCCCCGTCCTTCCCGTAGCCCCTCCCCGAGTCTGGTCAGTGGGGGTGCACAAGAGGGCGGGGCGGGGCGGGGGCGTGGCCCTGGTAGAGGTGTGCGGGGAGGCTTTGGGCGGGACTCGTGGGCCGCGGCAGCTGCAGCTGGGGCTGGGCCTGGGGTATCTCAGTGCTAGGCACCGTGCGCCGCTGCTGGAACAAAGCCACGCCCGGGGGGAGGGGCAGAAAGGGGGATGGAGACTCATTTATACCCCTGCCCGGGGATTTGGGGGCCGTAACTGATGCTGCTACGTACGGAAAGCTCCAGGTGCCAGAGCACTGCTTTGGCACAGTCGTCCGGGCTGGGGCCCCAGGAGCCAGGACTCCCTCCGGCGGGAGGGGAGGGAAGTGAGGACAGAGGTCATCTCCTTGAATTGTGAGGCTACAAGGCTGTGGGATCTCATTCACTCCCTGACTCACTCATTCATTCCCCCCCTCCCTCACTCACTCACTCACTCACTGATTCATTCACTCACTCACTCACTCACTCACTGACTCATTCACTCACTCATTCACTCACTCACTCACTCCACAGCTATATATCAAGAGCTTCCTGTCTGCCAGGCACCATGCTCATCGCTGGGAGACACCTTAGAATTCAACTGGAGTTCGGTATCTTCCTCTAAACAACCCAGCCTCCCTCTCCACATTCCCAGCTCAGCAAAGGCATCGACACCCAGCCAAGCATCCAAGTAGGGGTCCGGCACCATCCCTGAGTCCTCCCTCAGCCCCCGCTGCCAGCCCACCACCCATCCTGTGAGTCTCCCCTCCTTAGCGAGTCACTGCAGATCCACCCTCCCTCCCTGCAGCCCCCACTGCTCCGGCCTGGGCTCAGACCCTCTGTCTGTGACCCTCTGCCTGTCCCAACCGCCCTGCCTCCACTCTCTTTCCTATCGGTCCCCCCCCCTTCCTGAAGGCAGGGGGCTCTTCCCGAACTGGAAATCTGATCACCCCTCCGCCTAAAACCCATCACTGATGCACACACCTATTGGATATGCATCCACCAAAACTTTGAAGATACTTGCCATTTACTGGATACATTCTTAGTAAGTCCAGGAAGCCTAGAAGCCCCAGGGTTAGATTGCAAAGGATTTAGAACGAATTCCTTGTGAAAGCCTCAGTACCACATGCTTTGGTAACTGGGACTTGGGTCCCCTCGGTATTGGCTTGCCCTTGGGCCATGGCCTTGGTGAACGAGTAGATGATGAGAGACCTGCATTTACTCATCATATTCAAACGCCTCAAGGAGCTCCCCTGACCTGCCACTGAATGGAATGGGGGCTCCGTGAACTCCAGGCTCCTGCCTCGGAGTCTGCCTTATCTCCCTGCACACCCTCCCCTTGAACTCCACGGCAGCCTAGAGAAGGACCGGAGATTCCGAGGGCAGTCCTGCCTCGGCGCCCGGGCACCTGCCGTTCTCTCTGCCCGGCTTGGCCAGCCCTTCCTCGCTCCAGGGAAACACCTGAGATGCTGTCCTATCTACCTGTAAGCTCGGCTTCCTCGGGAAGCCTCCCCCCCGCCCAGGACGGGGGAGGACTCTGGCTGGCCCTTGGCCCCCAGACAGCTGGTACACACGTCCCTCCTTTATTGCGAGAGTCCCACTGAGGGGCTTGTCGCCATCAGATGAGGGTCCCTGAGGAGCCGCAGTCTAGAGAAGACCCTGTGAACTGTGGTATCCCAGGTACAAAGAGCCATACCCAGCTGGGGGCATCAGGGAAGGCTTCCCAGAGGAGGGAGTGCTGGGGCCAGCTCTTAAAGATCAAGAGTAGGAGTCCAACCAAGGGATGAAGTGGGGAGGGGAGGCCAGGCGGAGCAGGAGACGCGCTGCTGGGTGGGCGGGGAAAGGCTCGCTGAGAGGCTGGGTGTGGCCAGAGGGCGAGCTCTGTGTGTGTGTGTGTGTGTGTGTGTGTGTGTGTTTGTGTGTGTCGGGCAGGCAGTGGCAAGCGACAGGGGATTTGTTTGTCCTTCTCACCTGGCAGAGGGTGGGGCCACTGAACGGTTTTCACCAAGGTGTGACAAGGACGGGGCCGGTGTCCCGCCTCCCCCGAGGGCCCTGCTACTTGCTGGTCCTCGGTGCTGAGGAGTGGGCTGGAGGGGCAGGCCCCGGCGTCCAGGAGGCCGGCCCGGGCCTCTGGGAAGCTCTGCAGCAGGCCCTGGCTGGTGGCGGGAAGGAGAGGTCTGCGTCCGTGGAGGGCGGCGAGGGAGCCGGGACCAGGCTCCGCTCCTCCCAGAGAGAGGCCCTGCTTGTGCCCGGAAGGCCCTCCCGCCTCAGGCCCCTGGGTCAGCCTGTGTCGCAGACGGGCAGTGTCCCTCTGGTGTCCTGCCACGCTCCGCTCTGAAACCCGGCAGCGACGGAGGCCAGGAACCCAGGAGCCCAGGCCCCCAACTCCGACCCCGAGTGGACGCTATGCCCGGGGCGTTTGGCAGTGGAGAGCCCAGGGCAGACAGCCTCTCGGGGCTCCCAGCGCGAGCCCGGCCCGCTGATCCGAGTCTGGAGGCCCTCCTCCCGAACCCCAGCAGGCAGAGGGGTCGGAGTGAACAGAGCAGGGAGTCCGGGCCATCGAAGACCCTGCAAGGACAGGCCAGCCCTCCTGGGGCCCCAGAGCAGGAGGGGCCCGGTGTGGCCCAGCTGGTAGGAGCAGCCCCTCAGCCTGTGCCTGGGACCCAGAGCAGCAGAGAAAATGCCAGGGAAAGTGTGTTCGGCCGTGAGGCCCTGGGCGGGGCAGGGCGGTGGCCTCTGTGACCCTGGGCAGGCACCCAGCATGCCTGGCCCTCAGTAGTCTCAGGATGTGGCCCCCTGGGTGGAGGGGCCTGTGACAGAGCCACTGTTCTTTCACTCCTGCCCCCTGAAACACACCCTAGGGCAGTGTGCCTACAAACAGCAAGGCAGGCCCTGTCCCAGCCGTCCAGCTCTGACCGACAGAGCCGTCCTCCTCAGGCCAGCGTCAGTAGGGCCCACAGCCCCCGCACATCCGCCCGACGGGCCCCCACTTCTAAGGCCAGACTGCAGACATTTATAGTACCCCGCTCTGCTGGAGCTTCCCGGGTTACCGCCAGTGCCTGAACCCTGGGAAGCTCAGTTTCTGCGTCTGTGAAATGGAGACAAGCACGGTTATTACTTATTGAATGCGGGCCCTGCACTAAACAAGACCCACCTTCCGCACAGCAGTGGCTTAGAAAGAAGGCTCCAGGCCGCCTGGGAAGAGGTGCGAGCTCCCTCTACTGGACAGCAGGTGAATCGCAGGCAGGAGGCCAGAGGACAAGGCGGGGACCGCAGCCCCAGTGGGAGAGACCTCAGAGATGGGCTGGCCCAGCCTCCTGTTTTACAGAGGAGGAAACGGGGCCAGCTTCCGGTAGTAATAGTAACATATAGTTATTTATTAACAGGGCCGTGTCGTGAATGGGGACACTGAGGCTTGGAGAGGTAAGGAAACGGTCATGTATCTAGAAGAGCTTGCCTTTCCACTGACCATACTGCCTCTGGCTTCAGCCATGACCTGGGCGCTGATGTCCCCGCTGACGGCTCAGGCCTGGCCTCTCTGCCCCGCTGACCAGCCACATGGCCCGCTCTCGGTCGCCTGCGGCCAGTGTCCGGTAAGCATCTCAAGCTCGCCGTGCCCCCAGCTGAGCCTGTTCC